ATATTACTTCCACAAATTTTGTTTGAGTGATATTGGATTGGGGATTGAAATTACTGAATGTCCAGTTCTATTTCACAGTCAACGTTGTTTTCTACTTGGAGAGATCAGAAGTGATACAAGTGTCAGACATAATGCTTGCAGGCAAAAAATCAGCTGTGTTGCTTTGGTTTGTGAAGAGAAGGACTGCAACTTCAAGTTAAACTTTTCATGTGCTAAGTACAAAACTCGTGCCTTAAAACACCAGTGCCATGAGCATGATCTTCTAAAATTTGGGCCAAAAAATGTCATAAGAACTGACCGTTGGTCTCATCTTTTTGGGGGAACATGCATTACTGGCCCTTTCCTGGCCCTTTCCTTGGTTGTATGTATTGTGATATTGACATCCATCTTGAGTGCGTTCCATTGCCCTGTGTTGTCAAGCATGGTTGTCATTTGCATCCCCTCAAACTTATGGGTGGTGTCGAAAATGATTCTAAGGAGTATAATTGTGACATGTGCATGGAAAAAGGAAATCCAGAGCATTAAGTCTACTCTTGCGAGGAATGCACCTATATTGCCTACATTGAGTGCGTGAATTCTGAGGTAAGCCAAACTTAAATTAATGACAATCCTTGAGAAGCAGCATCCTCCATGAAATAAACCATATATTTAAGTTTGTATTTATGCTAAGAAAAAGTACCATAGGCTAAGCATCAAGTCTGTCTAGTTTTCATATGTACACACACACATATATATATATGGCTACTCCTGTGGCTTTTACAGGAAATTCTTCTTTTATTGGCAAAGTTACAGAAACTAGTTTGGCATCCAAATACTTATAAACGGATTAAATATATGTGTCCTTTATAGATGCATTTTTGAAGTTTTTTCATTTCAAATTTTTTGCAACTCAGGACTGCAAGAAAAGAAATTTGTCATAGATTTGTTTCCAAAATTAGTATCGCTTCAGGACGAAACTCCTGAAGAGATATTATCATACTTGGTACCTCGGAACAGGCAAATGATGTTGGACTCAGACCTGGGAAAGGCTCCTAGTGAACTGGATAAGAAAGGAGAAGAAAATGCTACAGAGAGCTCTGTCCCGGATAATCAACTACATGAAAAAATTACAGGAATATAGGCCTTGATGGAGGAACTACCAATACAACAACTAAAGGCGCTTGTGGAAGAAAGGAGACAAAATGTTGTGTCTGAAGTCATGAACTTGTGAGGAGAAATTCTCGAAAGTGAAAGCTATACATATGATGTTCTAAGGTTAGCTTATCCCTATTATATTTTAACATTTGAAATCCCCTTATTCAAAGAACATTACTAGAAAGAAAGAAAACAGTGAAACTAAAGATTTAGCATTAGCATTAAAACATGATGTGGATATAGTCTGAATCTTCTCGTGACTGATTTTCCAAATTTTAAGAGACATCCAAATAATTAATTAAGCTTCCTTCTTTATATAAGCATCTAACATCTATCTTAAACAGTTAAACTGCAACATGTTGCAGTTTATGTATTCCATTATGAAGTGTAGAATAAAGACTTGAATTAAAGACTCAAGAGGAGTTCATCAAAAAAAGGAAAAAGATTCAAGAGGAGAATTGCCGTGGTGCCCCGTGCCCATATTGGCAAGTAACTTTGAAGGTTCCGACACCGTAGACTCGCATAGGTCATGTGGTGTCAAAAACTCAAGCCCAAAACCACATTCCTTTAGGAATTGTTTCTTAATGCTTAGAGATTTTCTTCCTTTTTAGACTTCAATAAGTGGTAAGATTAGTACTTCTTAGTCCAACACCCAATTTAGCACGTGTTACCCTAAGAAGAATATATGTAGTACGAGAAACTTCTTTTTTTTTTTTTTTTTGGCCGTAGTGATAAATCTTATTATTGATATACATTTAGTTTCTTTTCTCCCAAGTAATAGGTTCTTTTGCTTGAACAAGCTTCCAAGGCTTAAAATCCTATTGCTTGTAAAGAAATTGAGACCAAGAAAGGACTAGCAAGTCTTGCTCTTTCCAAAATCATACCAGCTATTTAGGATATTTAGATGTTTCTTGCAATACATGGCATGCCGGTTGGCATTGAAAAAAATAAACATATAATGTTTAATAGTTTATACAATATAACGTGATATTTTATAATTAAATCTTTTTATTCTAAGTCACATGTACAAAAGAAAACAGTACCTATAGCCATTAGTCATTCAACATTATTTTCTTTCTATGCATTAATGAGTTTTCAAATTCCATCTTCTTTTTTTTTTTTAAGTACTAACACTCAATATCTTGTAATTATGTTAAATTTTGATTAATTCAAAATTAAATTATATCAGGCTCCATTAAAAAAAAAATCTCTTAATACTTACTTTTTCATTTATAAGATTTAAACTTAAAATCTATCAAATACCTTCCATTCAAATTAATATATGGTTGGTTTGAAATTCCATCCCATTTGTGGAGGATGTGGAGGACGAGTAAGCCCATAAGGCCATGGAAAATAGAAGGGAGGCCCATCAATATGGGGCCCAAGTTACAATTTTGTTACTGGTCAAAGAAGACGTGTCGTCAAATAAAACACCAAAGGTGGCACTCGGAGTTCCCTTCCACAATGCCACCTGTCTCCTTTGTTTTTACGTACCATACCATCTCTGTTATCTCGATGCACCCCAAGAAAAACACTTGCTCCTCTGCTAAACTCATCACAGTGTCTTTCTTCTAAATCTATAACAGGTGTGCATATGGGTTCAGAGACATTCCTTGAAGTAATTCTTGCAATTCTGCTACCTCCTGTTGGAGTCTTTATGCGTTATGGTTGAGGAGTAAGTTCTGAATCTTGTTAATTTTCCTCTTCCTTCTCTAATCTCTCATTTTGAATTTTTCTTCTGATTATTATTATTATTTTTTTTTTTTTTTACCGTGGGATTTTGATATATGATACAGGTGGAGTTCTGGATAGATCTGTTGTTAACAATCCTGGGTTACATACCCGGGATTATATATGCCATTTGTGTGTTAGTTGGATAGTAGGCAGTAGACTTGTGAAAATGTTAGTAATGTTTTCTGATTTAGATATTTTTGTTGAATAAAACTTGTTTTGTTCCAGTTACATGGTATGTTTTTAGCTTGATAATTCTATTTTTATTTTTATTTTTTAACACTGAGAGTTCCATCTTTTGCTATCCAAATTCAGTCATCTATGAGAAATTAATTGGTTAAAACCCCAATTTAGTTGTTCTACTTTGGTAAAAAATTCTTTTTAATCCCTCTACTTAAAAAATTCATTTTTGGTTCCTAAAATTTGAAATCCAATTCCTTTTTAGTCTCTCTCTTAAGTTTTGACATTAAATAACATAAATTTTAAAAGAAATGAATTAAAAAGGAGTTTTTTTTCAAAGTAGAGGGATCAAATTGGAGATATTTTTAGTTTTTTTATATCTTTTTTAGTCATTCTACTTCGAAATTTGGAGATATTTTTAGTTTTTTTTATATCTTTTTTAGTCATTCTACTTCGAAATTTCTGTCATCTAACGTGTCACATATACAAAACTTAACAGAAGGATTATAAAAGGGTCAAATTTCAAATTTTAAGGACCAAAAAAGAGTTTTTTTTTTAAGTAAAAAGACTAAAAATAGGTTGTTTGTCAAAGTAAAGAGATCAAAATGGAGATTTAATTCAATTAATTTTATGACTAATTTGGGAAAATTATGAAAGTTAACCTTTAGGGGCTGTTGGGTTAGTTAAAGGCTAATTTTATTTAAAAAAATGTTAAAATTATTATATGAAAAATAAAAAAAAGTATTATATAAAAAGTTAATTATAAAAGTAATAAATTTTGTAATGAAATTTTGTTAAAATTTAAATTTTTTTATTTATTAAAAACTAATAAAAAAGTTAGTAAATAAGTTATTA